CAAGATGGGTCCTACACAGATGACAGCAAGGAAATGAGTGAGCTACTCAAGTCCCAATACGACTCAGTTTTTAGCAAGCCGCTAACCAGACTGAGAGTCGAAGATCAAAATGAATTTTTTATGAGAGCCACAAAATTTGATTAACACAAGCCTATCCGATGTTATCCTGACGCCAAATGACTTCGAACAGGCGATAAATGACATGCCCATGCACTCTGCCCCAGGGCCAGAATCATGGAACTCCGTGTTCATCAAGAACTGCAAGAAGCCCCTATCACGAGCCTTTTCCATCCTATGGAGAGGGAGCATGGACACGGGGGTCATCCCACAGTTTACTAAAAACAACAGATATAGCCCCACTCCACAATGGGGGCAGTAAAGCAACAGCAAAGAACTACAGACCAATAGCACTAACATCCCATATCATAAAAATCTTCGAAAGGGTCCTAAGAAGCAAGATCACCACCTATCTAGAAACCCATCAGTTACACAACCCAGGGCAACATGGGTTTAGAACAGGTCGCTCCTGTCTGTCTCAACTATTGCATCACTACGACAAGGTTCTAGATGCACTAGAAGACAAAAAGAATGCAGATGTAATATATACAGACTTTGCAAAAGCCTTCGACAAGTGTGACCATGGCGTAATAGCGCACAAAATGCGTGCTAAAGGAATAACAGGAAAAGTCGGTCGATGGATCTATAATTTCCTCACTAACAGAACACAGAGTAGTAGTAGTCAACAGAGTAAAGTCCGAGGCAGGCACGGTGAAAAGCTCTGTTCCACAAGGCACAGTACTCGCTCCCATCTTGTTCCTCATCCTCATATCTGACATAGACAAGGATGTCAGCCACAGCACCGTGTCTTCCTTTGCAGATGACACCCGAATCTGCATGACAGTGTCTTCCATTGCAGACACTGCAAGGCTCCAGGCGGACATCAACCAAATCTTTCAGTGGGCTGCAGAAAACAATATGAAGTTCAACGATGAGAAATTTCAATTACTCAGATATGGTAAACACAAGGAAATTAAATCTTCATCAGAGTACAAAGCAAATTCTGGCCACAAAATAGAGCGAAACACCAACGTCAAAGACCTGGGAGTGATCATGTCGGAGGATCTCACCTTCAAGGACCATAACATTGTATCAATCGCATCTGCTAGAAAAATGACAGGATGGATAACGAGAACCTTCAAAACTAGGGAGGCCAAGCCCATGATGACACTCTTCAGGTCACTTGTTCTATCTAGGCTGTAATATTGCTGCACACTAACAGCACCTTTCAAGGCAGGTGAAATTGCTGACCTAGAAAATGTACAGAGAACCTTCACGGCGCGCATAACGGAGATAAAACACCTCAATTACTGGGAGTGCTTGAGGTTCCTAAACCTGTATTCCCTGGAACGCAGGCAGGAGAGATACATGATTATATACACCTGGAAAATCCTAGAGGGACTAGTACCGAACTTGCACACGAAAATCACTCACTACGAAAGCAAAAGACTTGGCAGACGATGCAACGTCCCCCCAATGAAAAGCAGGGGTGTCACTAGCACGTTAAGAGACCATACAGTAAGTGTCAGGGGCCCGAGACTGTTCAACTGCCTCCCAGCATACGTAAGGGGGATTACCAACAGACCCCTGGCAGTCTTCAAGCTGGAACTGGACAAGCACCTAAAGTCGGTTACTGACCAGCCGGGCTGTGGCTCATACGTTGGTTTGCGTGCAGCCAGCAGCAACAGCCTGGTTGATCAGGCTCGGATCCACCAGGAGGCCTGGTCACAGACTGGGCCGCGGGGGCGTTGACCCCCGGAACACTCTCCAGGTAAACTCCAGGTAGGTCTGTTCTACCGGACTTGCATGACAGCAATCATTTTCCAGTCTTTCTTTCTTCCCCTTCATATTCACCACCTCTTTGTAGCCCTCGCTGGCAATTTGATCGAGCAAATTGGGACCTTGACTCGCAACCAACGGCTGTTAGTGAGGTTCCTTCTTCATCCTCCATTGATGAGCTTTTACACCTCTTCTCAACGTCAGTTTTAACCACAGCTTCTCATTCTATACCCGAAACCTTGGGCAGGCATTCTCAGTGCGTGCCATGGTGGTCTCCTGCTTGTGCTCGGGCAGTACGTTTTGAAACTCGCTGCATAGGGCAGGTACCGGTACAATAGAACCACAGAGAAACTTCTTGATTTTAAGCAGAAGCAAACGGTTGCTCGCCGTGTCATCCATGATGCTAAATGCACTTGCTGGCGAGATTGTTTCCACCATCACCTCGGCTTCCTCTATGAGTGCAGTCTGGAAAAAAGTACGGAAACTGAGTGGTAAATACTCTCCTGGCCCGGCTCCTGTTCTGCAGGTTGCCGGTGTTGATATAGCAAACCCTCTTGACGTTGCCATTAATATTGGCAATCATCTGGTCCGTGTTTCTCAGGGGCTCCATCTCTGCCCCTCATTTCTTTCCTCAGTCTGCCAGAGAGTTAGCACCCTTAGACTTTTCTTCTTTCAAAGAAGAATCTTATAATGCAGGCCTACCAGCTTTCTCTTGCTAGATTTGAAGGCACTAGAATTTAGGCATTCTAGTACGTCAATAACCCTGGTGCGTAAGCCGTACTAGTATTTGCCTGAGGACCATGTCACTAGTTACTGCAATCGTGCATAGATTATTATCGTCCTGTTCTACATAATTTATTTTTGGAATTTCATTAGCATCTTCCTGAGTAAAAACTGAGAGGAAGTAAGAATTGAAAATTTCACACACATCCCTATCACTGTCAGTGATCTGACCTGAGCTACTCTTAAGTGGGCCTATCTTTTCTTTAATCTTACTTCTGTGTACCTGAAAGAACCCTTTTGGGTTAGTCTTCGAATCCCTTGCGACCTTAACCTCATACTCCCTTTTTGCTTTTCTTATTCCTTTTTTTTATTTCTCTCTCTAATTGAATATATTGATTTCTTAACTGCCCATCCCCTCTTTTGATAGGCCTAAAAATCCCTCTCCTTTGACCAATGAGATGTTTTAATCTATTGTTCATCCATTTGGGATAATTTTTGTTAGATCTAATTTCCCTACTCAGAACAAGAATTGACTGAGCAGGTGGAACTATGCTCTGAAAACCGTCATATTGGCAACCAACACCAGCTACCTGACCCATAGTCAGATCATCCCAATTTAGCCCACCCAGGCAATTTTTCAGTCCCATGAAATCAGCCAATCGAAAGTCTGGGACAGAGACTTGATTGCAATTTACTGGGTAATTCCATGATATATTGAAACTAAGTGATTTGAGATCACTTCCTCAAGCTCATCATTAACCTCAAGATTATTAATTAGTGAATCTTTATTGGCAAGAACCAAATCAAGCAGATTGTTTCCTCTAGTTGGTTCTGTCACAAACTGTTTTAAAAAGCAATCCTGAACTGTATCAAGAAAGTCACTAGACTCAAGATTTCCTGTCAGATTGTTCCAATCAATTTGTCTAAAGTTTAAATCCTCCATTAACACAACATTTTCATATCTAGACGCTTTATGAATTTCGTCCCATAGCAGCTTACTGCACTTCATATCAAGGTATGGGGGCCTATATATCACACCCAAAATTAACTTTTCATACCCCTCGAGAAACTGTAGCCAAACAGATTGTGTCCGATGCTTCTATTCTTATGTGTCTAATGCAACAATTTAAATTCTCTGACGTACATCGCCATTTCACCACCCTGTTGACCCTATCAGTGTGGAATAGTTTATAACCCTTTATGCTGCATTCAGAAGGCATTTCTCTATCCTTCAAGTTGAACCAGGTCTCAGTTATAGCAATAATATCTATATTATCTGCACTTGTGAGTATTCTTAGCTCATCTACCTTATTTCTTTGACTCCTACTATTTGTATAGTAAACGTTAAGGGAGCTAGTCACTCGTTACCCTCTACTATCTCTGTTTGTTGATCAGTTGCTAACGCGACGGTCTGGAGTTTTGAGAGAGACTGACCGCGGGTTCAAATCCCGCCCGTGGTATGGTTTATTAGGAACTTTATTTTGAATATTGTCTTTTAAACATATCTCTGAGGTATCCTGGTAATACCTGCTGTTTCCAACAATAATACTGCAGCCCGATTGTTTCCCACAAACACCCATACCTGTATAATCTATCGGTTTAAAGTCCTAGATGAGTTGTCAATTACCCCCTCAATCAAATTGGCTAATGCAACCACTCCAACCCCAGAGAGATGAACCCCATCCCTTGCATACATATCATGTTTGTTATAGAATTTGTCAGTTATCAATGAATGGGATTGCAAGTTCCTTGCAGTACCTGTCTAGCCAACAGTTTATACCAATTGTCCTAGACATCTATTCATTGCTCACTCCCCTTTTAGGCAAGATGCTACATATGATAGGGATCCTTCCCTTAGACCTGACTACTACTGTGGCTGACCTGTACTTCTCCAGTAGCTCCTGTCTCCTGCCTTAGGTGATTAACATGCATATACAGTGGACCCCCCGGTTAACGATATTTTTTCACTCCAGAAGTATGTTCAGGTGCCAGTACTGACCGAATTTGTTCCCATAAGGAATATTGTGAAGTAGATTAGTCCATTTCAGACCCCCAAACATACACGTACAAACGCACTTACATAAATACACTTACATAATTGGTCACATTCGGAGGTGATCATTATGCGGGGGTCCACTGTATATGCAAATGTAATTGAGAATTCAAAGTAATTTGAAAATTGAATCCTTAAAATTTTTAAGCTGTACAAGGAATTGTAATAATGTACTACTCTTGAGACAGGAAAGAAGCAAATGGCTTTTAAAACAGTTTTGAGAGAGGGGTTTATATTTTGCATATAATGCAGTGTAACATTAGATGATTTATTGAATTAAGTTTTTTTTATATAGGTATTGAATTAATAATTCCTCTGCATTTTCCTGGAGTCAGCAATAGAAGTTAATTAGTGATATAAAAAAATTTTTTTGTTACATTCATTATAGAATCCAATGTATTCTACAGGTGATTGATGCTGGGGATCACGTCATAAACGGAAAGAAGGTTGATCCCAAAAAGGCCAAAGCTCGTCATGGTAAAATCTTCGTTGGTGGACTCAAGCCAGAATTATCAGATGATGACATAAAGAAATTCTTCAGTTCATATGGCAGTATTATTGACATGGAATTGCCTTTTGATAAACAAAAGAACCAACGCAAAGGATTCTGTTTTATCACTTTTGACCAGGAAGCTGTAGTGACAGATCTACTCAAAACTCCAAAACAGAATATCAATGGCCATGAAGTTGATGTGAAGAAGGCAACCCCTAAGCCAGATTCTATGATGAGAGGGGGCATGCGTGGTGGTATAAGAGGACGTGGTGCTATACGGGGTCGTGGCAGAGGTTGGGGCCATGGATGGAACCAGGGAGGCTATGGGGGATACAACCAAGGTGGATATGGCGGCTATGGTGGATATGGTGAGGACTAGGCTCGAGTAAGAGAGATTTTGTGCGTAGGCTTTTACAAGACTTCATGTTTACACTGTTAGGATCTTTATATGGTTCAGCCTTTTGAGATTGATTGTTAATGGGCCCTTTGTAAATTGTAGCAAGTCTGATAATTGAATGTAGTTATTACACCTAATTGTTATATTAAAAGTTAAAAGAACTTTAGTTGTCTAACAAATGGATGCAATATCTTGGGAAAGAAAGGATATTACCTCCCATTGAAGTTTAATGTAGTTACAGTGCAGCAGCTCCCTTGTAGTCTGTTGTTTTTCATTAAGTTCATTTTTATTTATTGCATGTTTCTGTATTCGTTATTTCAGAGCTTTCTACTATGTTGTTTATTGCCAGATGAATTATTGTATGTATTGCATATGTAAGTGTCAATTTTAGTTTTGTGACATCCAAACCAGCATGTGAAATTAAAGTTATTTAATGTTGCCTGTCTTGAATCATAAAACTGATAGTACAGTCTGGAAACATTCATCTGGAATGATGATATATTAAAAAGAAAATAGTTAAATATGCAGGTTTTGTCAAGTTGGTGTTTCTGTTTTCAGGAGGCTATGATTATGGTAGTTATGGTGGCTACAGTGGGTATGGGGACTATGGCTATGGAGGATATGGAGGTTACAATGATTACGGATATGGCTCTAGCAATTATGGTAAGTATCAGGCTTATGGTTGTTAAATGCATGAATATTTTAATGTTATTTGCATGATTAAAGTGAAATTTGATAGCTTTGTTGAAATTTTCCTTATTGATGACAATAGGTTAATTATTATTGATTTAGAATGTCATGAATTAGATCCCCGCATGTTGACCCATACCTAGTTCGTTTTGGATGTGCTCAATGTGTTGTTGTTTTTGAGTCGTCAGTTTCAACATATCCAGTCACTAAACATGCTGGGGTCAAACCTGTACTTTTAGTCGTTCACCGAGACTCATTATTTATGGCATTGTTGGCTATTACCAGGCGGGCAAGGGTACGGCGGGGGTAAGAGCCAGCACGGGCGGCAGCAGGCGAGGCACCAGCCGTACTGATTGGCGTGATCAAGGATACGACTACAATGCTACCGCCACCTGGAACTGCGGAGACACATACTAATGCCAGTCCTCAATCCTCGACTCTTCTGTCTGCTGCATCTGGCTCTTGTGACGATGGTATGCAAAGCCAAACTTGAAGATTTTAGACTATGGTATAGTGAGCCAATTTTGCAGTGAGAAGGTTCTGAAGGCTTCAGTCCGTAGGAATTCGACAAGCCCCAGAACTTGAATGGTCGCAAGGGCCATTTCCAGCGGATTTTGGAGCCTTCAGTGTGATAGACTGCGGAGGCTTTTTGTGGAAGTGGTGTTAGTTAACTTTGAATGTGCCTGCTGTGGGACGATCACATTTTAGTGTCGACATTCATTAGTGACTGCCAAGCAGTGTTCTCATGTAAGTGGGGACTTATCTAATTTTTAATGAAAGAGCAGTTAAGATTCTTTTGTTCTTGATTGAAATGATTTAGTGATGAATTTTGTAATATAAACATGGTAACATGTCTACCAAAATTATCAGTGCTTAAATTTGTATTATTTTTTGTACTTGAAACCAAAATACATAGTAGGTATTTTCTGTTGTTTTATTTTTGCCTTCTGTCCAAGAATTCAAATAATTTAAGTGTTTGACAAATTTTTTAACCGGCACCTGCCACCAACTGATTTTCCCCTCCCCTCCTGACCTTACTTATTCCCATACTGCAGTGCTGTATGATCCACAAGAGTTTAGCGCTTTTTTTAAATAAAATAACCTGTTACTATTGAGCACTGAATCCACAGTAAATTTTCTTGATGTTGCTCGAAATCTGCACTGCCATGTCTAAGACGTGAATGTTGTCACTTCTTGTTGGAGGTTCTTGATGCAAGGAGTTTGGTGTTGTCCCATTGGATCAAACCTGATTGCCTCCCTAAAAATAATATACCCAGAATGTATGGCCTGTTGGGGGAGGTTCCTTAATGCTGGCGAAGGGCTCTTTATCTAAGGAATTAAAGTTTCAATTTCCTTGATTGGAGCATGAATTCCTTATTACTCAAGAGGCTGTATAACCCATATGGGTTTAGTGCTTCCCTTAATTATAATATAACCTCTATGGGTTAAGCTTCCTCTAAATAGTCACTCCTGTTATAAAAGTGCTTCAAACAAAGCTTTTCTACTTGCCCATCCTTCAAAGATGGATGTTAGGAATGCTTTGTTTCAAGGAATTTGGCTCACTTTCCATTAAATCTTACCTGAAGATCCACCAACAGGTTTAATGCTTTTCCAGTCTCTGCCCATCACCTTTGCACATTACTCTTAACATATTCCTACCTGCAGTCTGTGCTGTATGAGTCTTGCAGGATTAGTGCTTCATTTTTTTATTAAAATCCTTCCCTCAGTGCTGTATGACCCAGCAACTTGATTATACATACATTAGTGCTGCCTGTGAATGTAATATAATCTAACCTGACTGCCTTTGCATTATGACTGGGTTTAGTACCTGATAAATGTCTGATAATCTAAATAAGACAAGTACAAGTGCAAGAGTTTGTGCCAGTGAATAAAAAGTGTGAAGGGCATTATTCCTCTCGAGGAGCGAAGACATGATTAGGGAATTTGAGTTGTCATTCCCCAGGATTCTTCGGATTTGGCTAGCCTAAATATAATTCACGATGTATGTGGGGTTTAACACTTCTGGAAATGTATTTGTTAAACAGGAGTGTCAACTTGAGCTTTGCTGCATGAAATTTTCATAAATGTATAGGAGCTGCATGACAATCCTACAGTTAACTGTAAGACCCATGTAGGGTTAGTGCTTTTTAAGAACATAAAGAAGGAACACTGCAGCAGGCCTCCCCTCAAGGGAGGTTCCTTGACGCTGGTGAGGGGCTCTTGATCTAGGGAATTGGATCTGTGCTCCGGTTCCCTGAATTGAGCCTGAATGCCTTCCATCCCCCCCACATGCGCTGTATAATCCTATGGGGCAGCGCTGTATAGCCCTTGTGGCTTAGCGCTTCTTTTTGATTATAATATGGGTTTAGTGCTTCCCTGTGATCATAATAATGCAGCAGGCCTACTGTCCCGTGCTGGCTTAGGGCTTCTTTTTTATTATAATAATACTGTCCCGTGCGAGACAGGTCCAATTCTCCCACCAGCTTAAGCCAATGCCTTGACCTAGTCAGGTCAGTCACATTCACTTAAGGGAGGAGCACAAGCTAGGTCCAACTCACCCACCCATACCCACTCGTGTATTTATCTAACCTATTTTTAAAACCGCACGTCGTCTTAGCTTCTACGACGGTACTCGGGAGTTTGTTCCACTCATCCAGAACTCTATTACCAAACCAGTGCTTTCCTATATCGTTGAATCTGATTTTTTCCAGTTTAAACCAAACCATTGCTGCAAATCCTGTCTGTCAGATATATTTTAGCACGCTATTTACATCCCCTTTATTAATTCCTGTTTTCCACTTACCTTAATCATATCCACCCCTAATTCTGAGTGCAGATTCAGGGCCCTCAGTCTATCCTCAAGGAAGATTTCTGATACCTGGGATCAACTTGATCCTCCTTCGTACGTTTTCCAGTGCATTTTTATCCATTCTGTAATACGGTGACCAAAACTGTGCAGCATAATCTAAATCAGGTCTAACCAAAGATGTATACAGTTGAACAACCTGAGGACTCCTATTATTTATACTTCTCGCCATGAAGCCAAGGATTCTGTTAGCTTTATTGCGAACACTTGTGCACTGTTGCGGCTTAGTGCTTCTTTTTGATTATAATAATAATATGCACTGTTGCCTTGGTATCAGATTACTGCTAACCAGAACTCCTAAATCCTTTTCGCAATTGGTAATATTGGCTTAGCGCTTCTTTTTGATTATAATAATAATAATAATCGGTAATATTAAGATCTACATTATTTAGTTTGTGTCGCACGGTTATTTTCCTGTCCAACATTTAGAACTTTGCATTTGCCTATATTGCAGCGCTGTATAGCCCTTGTGGCTTAGCGCTTCTTTTTGATTATAATAATAATAATAATTTGCCTATATTAAACTGCATCTGCCACTTCTCCGATCACTGCATCAGTCTCTTCAAATCATCCTGGAGTGCTCTAATGTCCTCACCCCTCAAGGAAGGTTCCTTGATGTTGGTGAGGGGCTCTTGATTTAGGGAATTGGATCTGTGCTCCAGTTCCCCGAATTAAGCCTGAATGCCTTCCACATCCTCCCCCCCCAGGCGCTGTATAATCCTCCGGGTTTAGCGCTTCCCCCTTGATTATAATAATAATATGGAGGTAGGGCTTATTGGTCTATAGTTCAAAGTCTGTATAACCCTTGCAGTTTAGAGTTTCTTTTGATTATAATAATATAGTTCGAAGCCAAGGACCTGTCACCTGCCTTGTAGATAGGTATTACATTTGCCATTTTCCACTTATCAGCCCTCATGGAAGGTTCCTTGATGTTGGTGAGGGGCTCTTGATTTAGGGAATTGAATCTGCTCCAGTTCCCCGAATTAAGCCTGAATGCCTTCCACATCCCCCCCCTGGGCGCTGTATAATCCTACGGGTTTAGCGCTTCCCCCTTGATTATAATAATAATCCACTTATCAGGCACTATGCCAGTTTGTAGTGATATGTGCTGTATAGTCCTTGTGGCTTAGCGCTTCTTTTTGATTATAATAATAATAATGTAGTGATATGTTGAAAAGATTAGCCAAAGGTATGCTAAGTTCCTCTTTACATTCCTTTAACACCCTTGCAAACAGTTCATCAGGACCTGGGGATTTGTTAGGTTTTTATTTATTTGTCTGAGGACCCTGTCACTAGTTACCCTAGTCGTACATAGTTTATCGTCCTGTTCTACATAATTTATTATTTCTGGAATTTCGCTAGTATTTTCCTGAGTGAAAACTGAGAGGAAGTAAGTATTGAAAAGTTCACATATCTTTATCACTGTCAGTGATCTGACCAGAGTTACTCTTAAGTGGGCCTATCTAGTCCCTAATCTTACTTCTGTATACCTGAAAGAACCCTTTTGGGTTAGCCTTTGAATCCCTTGCGACTTGAGCCTCATAATCCCTTTTTGCTTTTATTCCTTTTTTTTTTATTTCTCTCTCTAAATGAATATATTGATTTCTTAATTGCCCATCCCCTCTGTGGAAAATTGCATTGATCTGAATGTAACTCATTATGTACATAACAGTAAATAAAGATAATTATTATTTATCAGTTACATATACACATTTTTAATTTGGGACACCTAGGTCACAAAAATGTCCCCCTTCGATACCTAGAACTGTCTTATCCACAAGTTGCTCTAGACCTATTAATTACAAATGAAAGATGTATCGACAAGAATTCTGGTAAATATATAAGTTTGTGGACTGTATATTAAAAATAATAAATGATTATATATATATACATATATACATAACAGAAGGAGAATATATCTTAATATCGCTCACCAATTTGACTGGAGATTAAGGTATATCATACTCAGAAAACCTCACTGTCTATACATGAAAATAACACTGGCCAGAGTTGAACATAAACAGACTTATCTGAGGTTCCTGGAGCTGTCTTGTCCAGTTGCCTGATATCTCAAGTTATGCAGGAATGCACATCCAAATATTTCGGCTCCTATTTGAGAGGTGTTAGCCCAATTTTACCTCTAGAGCACGAAAATTCTTCCTATTTCACTAATGTTTCTATTCCAAATTCAAACAACAATGGCGAGTCTCTTCTGCACAGCTGCAGTTTCCCATTTTTTTTATAACAATTTTTATTAAATACAGTATGGCCATCTATTTACATATAACTACTGTATTTCTGGAAAATATATACAGTATTTTCCACACTGCGGCCAGGCGGAATTCATTGCTAAACGACTCAAATTGCTCATTTGGCAATGGTGGACCCCTCATGGAAGGTTCCTTGATGTTGGTGAGGGGCTCTTGATTTAGGGAATTGGATCTGTGCTCCAGTTCCCCGAATTAAGCCTGAATGCCTTCCACATCCCCCCTCCCCTGGGCGCTGTATAATCCTACGGGTTTAGCGCTTCCCCCTTGATTATAATAATAATAATAATAATGGCAATGGTGGAAGACCTGGGTACATATAGGATCTGGTATCCACACGGCGACATATTACACAAGATTTAATCACCCTTTTTACACTTTGCCATCCTTGTGGAATCCAGAAAGTTTCCCTAATACAATTTGAGGTATCTTGTACCCCACCATGCATTACATTTTTATGGGCATTTAGCATAATTAAATTTGTTAGATGACAATGAGTTTTGGGCAGTAAGATAGGGTGTTTAGCATAATCACCCAATTCAGCATTTTGTAACCTACCTCTGCACCTAATTACATTGTTCTCTAAATACAGTCCCAGTTTCTCTATTATGGAACCTTTCACAATTTTTCTTTCCATCATCAATTTAATCTCATTTCCATAGATTTCTTCTTGTACCCTCTTTATCCAATATTCAAGAGGATGTGAAAACTTATATGAGATATTCATCTTGTTTAGAAATTTAAACAGCAACTTAGTTACATTGATTAGTTTGGGTAAAGAAGAATACCTA